AAAATAAAAAATAACAGACCCTTTAAGACCCTTTGTAGTATAGATATCGGGGCAGGAATAAAAAACAACGTCAGAGCTAGATTCCCAACATTTATTGAAAATACGCTTCAACTAAAGTGAAGAACTAACTCATCATCCAATAAATGTTTCAGTAAAGAAAAATTACAATAAAGTATAGTTTAACTGCTAAATTTACCTAATTGTGGCTTCTCACCATTGTCCTTATGATCTTTCAGCAGCAAACGTTGAAAAAAAACATTATAAAAGTTTTGATATATAACGCGCGCTCTGATTGGCTGACGACCGCTTTATATCAGAGGACAGAGACGCGCGGCTTACCGGCAAAATTTTCATTTCGCTTGAAAAATTTTATAAAAGAAATATAAAACGGCCGCTGCGCCTTTGTTAATCATCATTATCATATATAATCATTTATGAAAAACCTATATTTCTCACTTTGGAAAAGTTGTTATTTTAACTAGAATGAAAAAAAATACCACGTTGGAGATTTCTCTCTATACATAAGGTATGGTATTTTACGACATCCAGTCGAACCTCTATTAAGCGGCCCTCTATTTAGCGGTCACCTTCCATTAAGCGGTCACTCATAAGTTCCCCATAAGTCGATTCTCATGTACATTTACTGTAAAACATGACCTCTATTAAACGGCCAACCTCTATTAAACGGTCAAAAATATTAAACGGTCAACCTCTATTAAACGGTCAACCTCTATTAAATGGTTAACCTCTATTAAACGGTCAACCTCTATTAAACGGTCAACCTCTATTAAACGGTCAACCTCAGTATTAAACGGTCAAACTCTATTAAACGGCCAACCTCTATTAAACGGTCAACCTCTGTTTCCCGAAGGTGACCGCTTAATAGAGGTTACAGTGTAATATGATTTCATATATAATTACACGACAAAAATATACTAGTTATATAATCCTCTCATGTTCAAAATCTCTCACGAGTGCGCGATCTTAATTTCAACACTCAAGCATGTTATATTATCTATTTATATAAAAGCTATTTAAATTGTTTATACAGTCCCAATGCTGGTAGGAAAATTAAGGAATGCGGAACAGCCGAGTTGACGAAAGCAGATACTGCATAGAGAGTATATCTGGCAAGTTACCGTGGACACGAACAACGACGCATAATATAACAAAAGAGAACCAAAATTTATGTTTTGACTGAGATGATCTAATAAAATTAACATCGATATGTAACTTATGTAGTTTAACTAGGGTATTATGTCGATCTGTGGAATTTTATATTCTTAGTACAATAATAATAATTTTGTATTCTGAGCACAATAACCTTAATAAGACAGTACAGAACCCACTGATTTTGACACAAGTTGARGATCTTGGTATACAAGAGTTTTATGGTGAAAATAGAAAATCGAAAGAGCTTAACATGAGAAAAACTGCGAGATTTTTAAATGTTAAAAAATATTTTCTCGTTTAATCTGATCAGCACGGGAAAGTGCGGACCGCTTTTAGCCAAATGAAATCGTGTTACATCCTCGCTGTATATTAAGTGGTAAATGTGATGTGAAACATCTATTTGCTTTGTGTATTTGTTAAATTGCAAAAAATTACATGCGTGCAGTTGGTAACCATGGTAGCATTACATTTTGTTTCACAGACGTTCTACTTTAAGCAACCCTTACTTGAGATTTTTATATTATAAATTTGATATTTTTTGTACTTGCAATAATATTATTGATCACACTTAACAGCGTTTGTGTTGATTGCAGAGAACAGAGAAAGTTATAGGAAAACATTTCATTAGAGTGCACACTAAATGAAATATATTTAACAAATAGATCTCATTTTTCCGTGCGTGTGTACTCTAATAGATACACAGATGACGTCAAAATGTAGTGAGAACAAAAAAGTACGCACGAGACGCACAGATGACGTCAAAATGTAGTGAGAACAAAAAAGTACGCACGAGACGCGAGATCTATCTGTTTTATACAACAAACAATTAGTTTTGACGTAATCCGTGTATCTATACTTTGATAACACACGAAAGCCAACAAATCATTGCAAAACGTCTGATTTTACTGAAAAGTTGTATAATGTAGATTAAAATTTAGCATTATTTAAATAGATCGAAAATAACATTACATTACAATGATGCACTCAATATAATTAAAAATGTTGAAGGTCATAATTTTTGCAAATGAATTTATGAAAATTTCCACATACCGTACGGATACTTTTAAGTATTAAGTTACGTTCAGGTAGAGTGATCGCACTTAAAAACGTTCAACTGTATAAAATCTAAGTAGTACTAATTTGTACAAAAAGTGGATATGAAGCAAGACGGTATTGAATGCTTCCTTTGTATCAATTCAATTTGATTTGCGTACCGCATGCACGATTTACTAAATACAACTAAACAACACTTTTTAGTTTGTACAGTTGCACGGTTTAAGTGCGATATATCACTCTATCGTATCATACCAGCCTTAACTGAATAGCATAAATAGAGAGTGAATATACTACACCCACCGTAGGATGACTTGCTTACGCGACGCAAACGTGATGYGTTATTAATTGCGTAACAGTAGAAAGCAAGACAACTTCTGCATGACCTAGAAATRAAGAGCTAAAAGTGATAGTTTAACTTTACTTAAATATTTTGTTGAATCACATGGCAATGTTTTGACAGTGTCGATATATAGCAAAATAAACATTTTCAAATTCAATTACTATTGTGTCATCGAATTATCTATCGCYGACGCCATAATGTTTAGCACTATGCGAAGGAGACTTCAAGTACACACTAGTTGGACTTGAGAGATCGAGTGTTTTAGCTCAAAGGAGAAACGTTTTATAATATAAGGGACTTCGCAATATTTATCAGGAAGGGGGGGGGGGGGGGGGGGGGGTGAAGAGGACAGGTCAGCAAGTTTTCTTCATGCTTTAATCGTGACGGAATAATACAACGAATCAAATTATAATTACTTTACAAATAAAACTTGAAGTAAAGGATTTTTGTATAATGTTTTTTCGTCTTTTTTTCATCTTTTTATTTTATATTTTGTATAGAGATCGGAGAGTGATCGGGAGACCAGAAGGAAACCTTCTGACTTGGAAAAAAAAAATCAAAATCAAATTATACACGTGGCATTTTTTACCTCGTGCCCCAGCCTAGCGCYTGAGCACGAATAATTAGGATAACAATTAGTAGATCAAAGGCATATAGATATGAATTGTGTKATACAAGAATCCTTGCAGAGTAACATGTTATCCAAAGTATCAAGGCGACGGTTGAAATGTACGAAGGGTCAATATCACTAGTCTTCCTTCTTTTGTTTGTTGCCTTTGGGTCTAATGTCATACACAAGTGTGTATGGCCCTCTGTTCTTAAACAAAATTTTCATCCATAAAAAAAATTATAATTTCTCTCTTCAAATGTATCTCTACAACGAACACAGGAAAGAAAACTGACTAGAAAAAAAAAAAGCCAAATGAAAAGTATTATTACAGATTCTACTGAAACGCACTTTTATAAAAGAGTTCTTCTTCCAAGTCACATCACAGCGGCCACCTTGGATGAACTTCAACAAAGGATTTATCATTAGTATCTTTTATTGTTCGTTCATCCAATATGACCGCCGGTCTTCTATTTTTTCTATCTTCTAATTTCATGGGAATGGTTGAAAACGATCAATGTTTGACAACACGTGTAATATTCATATTGTGTCATGTTGATGTCATGGCCTATTGGATCAGCCAATAGGAATYCATTATCCACACTGCAAGCTAGTACGCACTTCCKGGTTCGGAACACAGTCTGTTGTTATAAAGYCWTGACTAGATTTCAAACTAAGCCGTTATTCAAGTTTCAGCTCAGCAAATCAATCATTTTTTGTGGATCCCWTCTATTCTRATGGCTCTAACACCATAGTTAGCTATTCTGACACTGACGGAACGATAAGGTAAGAAATAACACGTACATTCTTCGGTTAAAACGTGCCATAAGTCAGGCARTGACCTTGTCTCGAATTCCAATTTCTAGCTAAATTTTTATAATCGTACTGAAATGTAACATTCATATCCTAGTAGAGCAGTCATTTACGAACATGTAAAATTCTCTGTGGTATACGGGAACTTTGAATTTCACAAATTTAGTAATATTCAGCAAGCCATTTCCACCGAAGAAGASGACAGTCAATTTTTCCACAATCAGTAACAGCTTTGTAAAGTTATATCATACATTGAATAAAGTGATAAGTCAAATACTGGACCATATCATACATTCATAATGCCTGATTACTCCACCATCAAAAGCCAAGTATATATGAAGTTTAGGACTTCGTAGCGCGTGTAGATACTTCATATTTTCGATTGAATACGGTTGATTTTTGGTAAACAATGTATACGGATGATACTTGAAGGGTCTGAGAAGAAGTAAAATCGATTGCTTTCGATCATTTTCTACAATAACATACTTAAAATGAATACCAGTTACTATACCAGGATACTATATAAGGCTTAATTGCCAAATATCCATTCGACATGGATATGT